GGCAGTCTCCCCCTCTCCCAGGCCGCTCTGATCCAGGGCCTGGGCCTTGTTAATAGTGAACCGTTTGCCCAACCCCTGCCTGAGGGCCTGCGCCACCGACTGGTTGTTGCCCCGCCCTGATCCAGGGCCTGGGCCTGGCCAATAGTGAACTGTTTGCTCAGCCGCTGCCTGAGGGCCTGAGCCACCTACTGTTTGTTGCCCTGCCCTGATCCAGGGCCTGATCTGGCTAATACTGACGGCTTGAGCTACTGACTGTTGGCCCTGCAAGCAGGCTAGTTCCCCGACACACCTGACAGAAGTAGCGAGGCGGTCTGGCTCCCCGCCACCCCAGAGAGGGACGGGCCGGCCGAACCCCCCTACGCGTGGTGGAGAATGTGGGCATTGATCCCCCGATGCTTGTGAGAAGGGATGTGCGGAGGAGTGTGCCCAAGCAACCACGGATATGGATAAGTTTATTAAGTTCTTAGCCGAAAGCCAACAACAGCAGCAGACGGCCCAGCTCCAGCTCCAGCAGCAGCAACAGGCAGCCACCCAGCTCCAGCAGCAGGTGGTCCAACAGCTGATTTTGGAGCTGGGATGCCAGCACTGGGACCACCAGCAGCAATGCCTACAGCAGTTGGTGACCTTGTAGCCCCATCCTGCTGGACCACCCAGCCTAGCCCCTCCCATCCGGTGGACAAAGATGGGACCCAACGATGACCCAGAAGCCTTTCTTGTGACTTTTGAAAGGGTGGCATTGGTCGCAGGCTGGGCCCAAGACCAGTGGGCGACCATCTTGGCCCCGTACCTGACCGGGACCGCCCAAACCGTATATCGGGGCCTGTCCATGGACGCGGCATGGGACTACACCCGGGTAAAGGCGGCAATCTTAGATGCCTTGGACGTTAGTCCAGAGACCTTCTGACAACAGTCCTGGAGCTTGGTCTATCCTACAGGGGCCCGACCCTGCATGGTAGCCCAAGACTTGAGGGAAGTGTGCAAGCGGTGGCTACAGCCCGAAAGGCAGACCCTGGATGAGCTCATTGAACAAATTATTCTGGAGCAATTCGTCCATATGCTCCCATCGCGGGGGAGGGCCTGGGTCCTCCGCCACCAGCCTACGACGTTAACGGCTGCCTAATGGAGGACTTCCTTGCTGCCGAAGCACCGGTGGGGCCAATCATTAGAGCTGCCCCGCTGGGACCAGAGCGCCCTAACCCAGAGAAAAGGGGCAGCCACCCGGATCGAACCACGAAACCCGTCATGGGGCCCGGAGCCCCGACCCCGGCCTGCCGAGTCCCCAGTTCGACAAGCCCTGGCACCTCAACCAGATACTCGAGGGACCAACCAAAGCCCTCCCAGGGGCCAGGCGGGAACACTGTCCCAGCCGGGATGCGCAGACCTCGGACCCTGTTTTTCCTGTGGGAAATATGGCCATTTACAGTGCGACTGCACTGGAATGGATTGCAGCTTCGGCCAGGTCTGCACGGGAGAAACCCGTGCCTGACGTCCACAGGCCACCAAGATTACAGTGCCAGTGGTTGTTGGGGATTGCCCAACCTTAGCCCTAATTGATTCAGGCTGCGGTCAGACGCTTGTTCGTCAAAGCCTAGGCCTCCAGGCTGATCCACGCCTGGGGACGATCCCTCTACAGTGCATTCATGGTGACGTACGACCCTACCCCAGTGCCCAAGTCCGGCTGACCGTGGATGGGGTCACGTGATCGATGGTGATTGGCCTGGCTTCTCAGCTCACCTACCCGGTAATCCTGGGGTGGGACTGGCCAGACTTCCCGGAAGTCCTCCACTTAAATGCCGACGAAAGTCCTGCAGTTACGCCAGCACCGGAAGGGGGCCTTCCTGAGACCCAGTCGGAGGGGGAGGAGGCACCAGACCCCAACGGACTGGAAGAAGAACCCGCGGATGCCCCGCCAGACACTGCTGCTGAACCCCTGCTTCACACTGACTTTTGTCGTGACCAAAGGGCAGATACCACCCTCAGTCATGCTTACGAACAACTAGTCATGGTCGATGGAGCCGTAATTGACCCACACTGGGCGAAGCAGTGGCCACACTTCAAACTGCATCAGGATTGGCTCTATCAAGTAGAATGGGACCCGCGCATGGGAGAACCCCAGAGCCAACTACTCGTGCCTCAATGTCACCGGCAGGCTCTAATGAAACTCACCCATGACATCCCTGCTGCTGGGCACTTGGGCCATGAGAAGACTCTAGCCTGAATACTGACATGCTTCTTCTGGCCCGGCATGCATCAGGAAGTAAGGAACTATTGTAGCTCCTGTCCCGAGTGTCAGAGCCTATGTCAGTGTGTTACGGCCAGGAACCCCATTGACACAGCAGCAGGTCTTCTGCCACTGCTAGGGCCCCGGGCTGGGATGCAGTGGAGTGGGTGGGCCTGTGTACCCCCTGCCACCCAACTCGCGGGTAGCAGTCTCCCCCTCTCCCAGGCCACTCTGATACAGGGCCTGGGCTTTGTTAATAGTGAACTGTTTGCCCAGCCCCTGCCTGAGGGCCTGAGCTACTGACTGTTTGTTGCCCTGCCCTGATCCAGGGCCTGGGCCTGCTAATAGTGAACGGTTTACTCAGCCTTGCCTGAGGGCCTGCACCACTGTTTGTTGCCCACCCCGATCCAGGGCCTAGGCTGGCTAATACTGAGCTGTGTGCTCAGCCCCGCCTGACGGCCTGAGCTACTGACTGTTGGCCCCGCAGCCAGGCTAGTTCCCCGACACACCTGACAGAAGTAGCGAGGCGGTCTGGCTCCTCGCCGCCCCAGAGAGGGATGAGCTGGCTGAACCACCCTACACTCCCTTGCCTCCTGCCCGTGGCAATCAGCTGGCTTGCAGCGTTCAGGAGGCAGGGGAGGGAGGGGGAGCCTGCCAGCTGGCTTGCGGCGTTCAGGAGGCAGAAGGGAGTGGGGAGGAGTGAGGACATGGCGCGCAGGCTCCCCCTCCCTCCCAAACGCCACAAGTCAGCTGATTGCCGCGGGCAGGAAGCAGGGGAGGAAGGGGTGAGGCACGCCATGTCCTCGCTCCTCCTCCTTCCCTCCTGCCCATGTCACTGGTTTGCGGCGTTCAGGAGGCAGGGGAGGGAGGGGGAGCCTATGCGCTGAGTTCTTGCTCCTCCCCCCTCCCTTCTGAACTCCGCAAACCAGCTGATTGTCGTGGGCAGGAGGAAGGGGGAGGAAGTAGAAGGCACTGATCTGTGGGGTCTGCTGGCGGGCGGGAGGCGCTGTGGCAGAGGGGGGTGTAGGGGAGCTGATGGGGGGCTGCCAGCTGTGGAAAAAGCAGGCAGCCAAATGACGTTATAGCAAAGCATTGCACAACTTTAAATGGAGCATGTTCTGTAATTGAGCAGGGAAGTCAGATCGAAACAACGTTAAGCGAGAGGACGTTAAGTGGGGAGTTACTGTATCACTGTGAGGTGGCAAAATTTAAAGACAACACAAAACTACTCAAGATAATTAAGCCCAAAGCTAATTGCAAATCACAAAACTGGGTGACTGGGCGACAAAATGGCAGATGAAATTCAATGTTGATAAATGCATAGTAATGCACATTAGAAAACATAATCCCAATTATACATATCAAACGATGGGATCTAAATTAGCTGTTACTACTCAAGAAAGAGATCTTGGAGTTTTGTAGTGGTAATGAGGCCAATGCAAACAGGGTGGCCCATTTCAAACAACTGACAAGAAGGTCAATCACTCGATAACTACCCTGTTCTATTCATTCCCTCTGAAGCATCTGGCATTGGCCACTGATGGAAGACAGGATGCTGGGCTAGATCGACCATTGCTAGATGACCCAGCATGGCCACTCTTATGTTGTGTTCTTATGCCAGTGCTTCACTAATGTCATGTGGACATGTCACCAGGCACCAACGCATCACTAACATGCTGACATGTCACCATATGCCATTGAACTGTGACGGCCGGCTGCCGACGCGCCTCGGTCGCGCCGACGTGTCACCGCGTGGGGCCGAACCGTGAGGGCTGGCTGCCGACGTGCCTCGGTCGCGCCGACGTGTCACCGCGTGGCGCCGAACCGTGACGGCCGGCTGCCGACGCGCCTCGGTCGCGCCGACGTGTCACCGCGTGGGGCTGAACCGTGAGGGCCGGCTGCCGACGCGCCTCGGTCGCGCTGACGTGTCACCGCGTGGGGCCGAACCGTGAGGGCCGGCTGCCGACGCGCCTCGGTCGCGCCGACGTGTCACCGCGTGGGGCCGAACCGTGAGGGCCGGCTGCCGACGCGCCTCGGTCGCGCCGACGTGTCACCGCGTGGGGCCGAACCGTGAGGGCCGGCTGCCGACGCGCCTCGGTCGCGCCGACGTGTCACCGCGTGGGGCCGAACCGTGAGGGCCGGCTGCCGACGCGCCTCGGTCTTGCTGACGTGTCACCGCGTGGGCGAACCGTGAGGCGCTCCGACGGTCGCCGCTTCCCGTGGGCGAACCGTGAGGGCCCCCGCCTCGGTCGCCCCGACGTGTCACCGCGTGGGGCCGAACCGTGAGGGCCGGCTGCCGACGCGCCTCGGTCGCGCCGACGTGTCACCGCGTGGGGCCGAACCGTGAGGGCCGGCTGCCGACGCGCCTCGGTCTTGCTGACGTGTCACCGGGAGGGTTGCCAACTCTGACTGAAGCTATACCGGGAGATTCCCCCCTCCCCCCCCCAGCCAACATGCCATAATGTCATTTTCTTAAAATATCCCATTAAAATCCCCCGGGCTGCATTCAACAGCCACCGGGGGATCGACGCCGGCTCCGGGAGACTCGCTCCAGGCCAGTCCCGCGCCTCACCCCTGTCACAGGGGCGCGGGCGGGAGCTGCCGGCGGGAAGTTCACGGGCCTCGGCGCCGCGCGCCCGCCCCTCCCCCGCCTCCATCGCGCCTCACACCCGCTCCCGCCGAAACGGGACAGCGGAGAAGCGACGGGCAGGGGGAGGGGCAACGGCTGGCGGCGCGCTCCCGTCCCCATGGCAACAAGCCCCTCCCTCCCCGGTGGGAAGGCTTCCCTTCCGGCCGGCGGCCCCGCGTGGTCGGCGCAAGCGCAGTGGGGACCGGTGCGGGGGAGCGTGGTGAGTGTTGGAAGACGGGGGCTTCCGGCCCCCTTCGCGCCATGGGGAGTGCGACCCCCTCCCCCGAGCCGGCTGCTCGCTGGAGGGGGAGGGGCTCTGCCCCCCTCCCCCGCCCCGCTCCCCATTGCCCCTGGGTCGGGTCTGTGCCCCTCCCCCACGGGGAGCGCCGGGTGGGCCCCGCGTGCGGCCCCTCCCGTGCCTGGCCCCAGCCCGCCCAGCGGGTGCCGGCCCACGGGGCAGGGCTGGGCCCCGCCAGCGGTGTCGTGCCCGGCGCCGCCGGCAGCAGCCGTTAACCTCCCTGGTGCGGGCCCAGCCGCCGCGCTGGGCGCCCCCAGCGAAGTGGGGGCTGATCTGTTGCCAGCGCTCCTTCGTAGTGGCGACTAATGTCCCTGGTGTAGATGCAGCCTCTGGCCTACCCTCCCGCTCAGGAAAGTGGGGCTGATCCACTGCCCCCTGGCAGCGGTGGCTAATGGTCCCTAGTGTAGATACAGCTGTGCAGTACAGAGGGGCCCAGCTGAGCTGCACATCCCAGGGGTGTCCTGCAGATTGGCCAACTCTGGGAACCAGGAAGCACTGTCGTACAGTTACATGTATTACTGTAGATTGTGCTCAAGAGTCCCGGTCATGGACCAAGGCTCCATTATGTCAGGTGCTGTATAAACAGAACAAAAAGACAGTCTCTGTCCCAAAGAATTTACAGTCTAAGGCCTGGTCTACACCTAAAATTTAGATTGACCTAGCTGTATTGCTCAAGGGTATGCAAAACTCCCCTAGGAGATGTAGGTAAACTGACTAAGTCCCATGGTAGATGCTGCTAGGTTGGCAGAAGAGTTATTCTGTCAACCTAGTTACTGCGTCTCAGAGAGGTGGGTTTACTACAGTGACGGCAAAACCCCTTATGTGGCTGTAGCAAGTGTCTGAGACAAGAGATAATACATAGATACAGACAGAGCAGGGAGTACCAGGAAACGGAGCTACGGCAACACTGAAAAGTTAAGTCAACTGAGCAGCGTTGCTCAGAGGTGAAAAATCCACACCACTGAGCAATGTAGGCAAGCAGACCTAACCACCAGTGTAGGCAGTGCTAGGTCAACCTAGCTACTGCCTTTCAGGAAGGGGATTAACTATGGTCATGGGAAAACCCATCCCGTCACTCTACTGAATGGCTACACTGAAGCTTGTCGTTGTGCTGCTGTAGTGTTTCAAGCGTAGACCAACCCTGAGACAAAATTGGTCAGTGTGATATGCAGTGGCCTCAGCATGCCAGCAGCCTATCTTGTCAAGTGTTTGGTAGGCATCATGGTAAAGGAAAGTTTGAAGGAGAACAGTGAAATAGCTTTGAGGATGTTCATGCAGAGTACCTCCCAAGCATTAGGGGCAGCATGGGAGAAAGTGTGAAGCCGCTTGTCTGAAGCGTTCAATTATGTTACTATTAAGCTGCAACTAATGTGATTCATTAGAATGTAACAACAGTTTAGTAAACACATTTGTCCCAATTTCTGCATGTTATATACTCCATCTTTGAATGGGAGCATAACAAATATTTAAGCAGGCAATTGTAGGTGGGAAGGTTAATTTTAGTGGAGGATTATGTGTTAATGCTTGGTCAGATTTTTAAAAGTGTGGTAGTATTATCATGTGCAAACATAGTGAGGAATGGAGGTGGTCAGGGTGGATTTGATTTAGATCATGGAAGACTCGATTTAATAATGGTTTTCTACGTAAAAGTGCATTCCTGATGGTTGTTATAACCTTAATATATATTATTCACAACTCAGAGATAAAAAGAACAGGAGGGCTTGTGGCACCTTAGAGACTAACCAATTTATTTGAGCATAAGCTTTCGTGAGCTACAGCATCCGATGAAGTGAGCTGTAGCTCACAAAAGCTTATGCTCAAATAAACTTGTTAGTCGCTAAGGTGCCACAAGTCCTCCTTTTCTTTTTGCGGATACAGACTAACATGGCTGCTACTCTGAAACTCGGAGATAGATGTAGGTTTCATTTTTAGAAGGTACACGCTCTACATTTTTAAACAGTGATTTATTTTGAAAACATTTCAGATTAGTTTTACAGCTATATCAGAAAATTGAATGATTGTTTGGTTATTTAATTTACCAAAGGTAATTGAAGCAGATATTTATGAAGTCATTGGGAGGTGAACTATCTCCAGTTCAACAGGTTAATCATTAATATTTGGAGGATTTTCTTGCTATGCTGTATTAGGAGGAGAACATCACCAGACAGACATTTAAATTGTTTTATTTAACTAAAACAACAACGTTAAGTATTCTGGATTTTTTTTCTTCAACAGCAAACATATAATATTTTAACAAAGCAAGCATATCTCCAGATCTCTTCTCCTTGTCCAGATCTATTCCGCCCCCAACAATCTTGTATTCATTGAACTTTTTGAAACTTTGCGCTTTTAGAGAGAGGTAAGGGATTGACTCTGTGTACACAAATTTGCAGAGGAACAATAGAGTTGAGGTCTGTTATTTCTCACCTCTATATATTTATTTATTTTAAAAACATTTTTTGCTGTTAACAAGCATGTTACCACTGAGGAGACAAATCCGCAGTTTGAGAACTGCAAAACTAAGCATCTCTGATGGTATCTTCTAGACTGAGCACTGAGTCCCATTGGGAAGATAGAAAGATTAACGTAAATAATCTATACAGAAGCCTGTGGAACCCCATAATATTGGGTCCCTAATCCATGAACTATTGGAAATCATTTACAAAACTTTTCTTAAACATGACATGAATATATTGTCTCATACTATAGAATTAGAATTTATAATCCCTACTCCATGATGAGATATCTTTGAGCTATAATGTATCTTAATTAAAACTATCTCTAGATAGGTTTTTTCCCTCAAAAAGCATTTTATCAAAAAAAATCCAATTTAAATTAAAAAAATCATTGATTTTTATCCACCCTGGGGGCAGTATTTTAGTGCAATAGCCAGTTCTCAATCCAACAATGTATGTAGTGCCCATTAAAGTGAAAGGGAAGCGTCTGTACAAAAGGACTGCAGGATCTTACAAGGTGTCTCGTCCCTATGACTCCCCACAGACCAGAAGAGAAAAAAATCTTGCATATCACTTACTAAAGGACAGTAGCTTTCAAAAATGTACTGAATGGTTACTTAATCCATGTGACTTCCCCCTGCCCCCCATGTTTTATCCACAAAAACTGGGGGTAAAAGTGTTTTTCAAGCATGTCTGTAAAGTGAAAAATATGAACTTCCAGGAGTTTGATAGTCTGGGCTTGATTCTGCTTTGTTTCCCAATATATATTGGGACTAACTCTATTATAAAACTGGAGTGAGTTGAGAATCTGGCACTCCGTCCTGTGTGGGTAGGTTTTCCTTCCCAACACCCAAATGGTAAAAGTAGCTCAGCGTTCGTTATGGTCCTGATGAGTAGAGAATGCTCACAGAAGGAGCTGTGTGAAAAAAGTATTTTTTAGCTCAAGGAAAAAAAAGGACTTAACACTGTTTACTATTAAAGATTAATCTGTAACTAGAAATGAACTCCCTAAATGCAATTTCCTAGGGACTGTTTAACGTTTCTTTAGTCTGGTGCTAAAGGAGAGTGACACTATATAAATATCTCAATTCTTGTCTTTCCCTATGCTTCTCTCTTTACAGATGATGCAGGGGGAACAGAGTCCAGCTACTTCCCTCATTGACAGAACCATCAAGATGAGGAAGGAGACTGAGGCCAGAAAAGTGGTTTTGGCTTGGGGACTCCTTAATGTGTCAGTTGCAGGCATGATTTATACTGAAATGTAAGTTCCCTAACAGTTTTAAAACTTAATAAAAGGATGTCATTATGTTCCTACATATTTCCATGTATTGAGAGAGATGCCATCTCAATTTTTTTTCTCTTTCAGGACTGGAAAACTGATAAGTTCATATTATAACATTACATACTGGCCACTGTGGTATATTGGTAAGTGTTTGTACTTGGTGATGGTTTACTTATGTGAGGAAACAGTATCTAAATTCAACCCTTTTGTTTTCTTTATGTCAGTATTTGAAAATTTTTAACCCGCTTTTTGACCATAGAGAAATCGGACTTCACTTTCCATGTCTAGTTTGGATCTGTCTGGGTTTATCTCCTGTGACAAACTTGCAGCAAAAAAGGCTTATCTGTTATCTTAGAACAAGTTTCATGTGTGTTGAGGCTTTCAGAAAGTAGAAGACAGAACTTTACTACTGACGTGGTGCGATAGGTGTGCTTTACATTTCATGTAGGAGTTAGACAAAGCTCTTTTTTTCAAGATATCTACAAGCTAAATGAGAGAGATGAAACTAACAAAGGATGAAAATGAAGAGTGGGAATAGACATGTAAGAGATCAATGATAGAAAACTTTCGAAAAGGCTGGATTTGAGGAGAGGGAGTTGTAGGTTGTTCCGAACCTGGGGATGATGTGAAAATGAAAGCATGTCGCAGCTTTAGGGGAAATTGCTTCAGATTCCTTAAACACAGTGATGTGTTATCATGGCATCCATCTTGATATGTAAATATAACACCATATTAACTAAATATAAACAAAGCTAAGTTGGGTATTGTCTTCCAGCTCTTTAGGCATCACTTGTTTTTTCAAATGGTGGAGTTACACTTGTAACCTGTAGAGATGTCAGCTGGTCTAGATTCCAAAACTTACTTTCTCTAAAGAATGTGAAGCTTATAAAGCAGCCCTTTGTTTATGTATGTGATTTTTTTTAATTAACTTGTATGATTAAAATATGGAAAACCTGTCTCCAGAGTTCTTGCATAAAATATGTCCCTGACCATCTTGGCTAATAGCTGTTGATCCTCCATGAATTTATCTAATTTTTTTTTTAATCCTGTTACACTTTTGGCCTTCACAACATCCTATGGAAATGAGTTCCACAGGTTGACTGTGCATTGTATGAAGAAGTACTTCCTTATATTTGTTTTGAACTTGCTGCCTATTAATTTAATTGGGTGACCCTTTATTCTTGCATTATGTGAATGGGTAAATCACACTTCCCTGTTCACCTTCTCCATAACCTTCATGCTTTTACAGACCTCTATCACAGGGTTCTCCAAACTTTTTGAATCGCGCACCCCCAGGGCCAGCTCTGGAGAAGCAAAAAAAAAAAAAGAGCTGCCGGCAGCATGCCACCAAAGACTGAGCAGGGAGAGCCGAGCTGCCGGTGGCGCTCCTCCTGCCGTGCATCCCACTTTGGAGATCACTGCTATATCATATCCCCGTCCCCGTAGTTGTCTTTTCTAAACTGAGCAGTCCTAGTCTTTTTATCTCTCCTCATATGGAAGCTGTTCCATACCCCCTACTCATTTCTGTTGTCTTTCTCTGTACCTTTGCCAATTCTAATATACCTTTTTTTGAGATCAGGCAACCAGAACTGCATGTAGCGTTTAAGGAGTGTGTGTACCATGGATTAATATAGTGGCATTATGATGTTTTCTGTTTTATTATCCGTCCCTTTGCTAATGGTTCCTAACATTCTGTTAGTATTTTTGGCTGCCGTTGCACATTGAATGGATGTTTTCAGAGAACTATCCATGATGACTCCAAGATCTCTTTCTTGAGCGGTAACAGTTTATTTAGACCTCATCACTTTGGAAAACATAACCTCAACTATATATACAATGTTCATTACTTTGAACTTACTGACAGTTAATTTCATCCGCTGTTTTGTCGCCTTGTCACCCAGTTTAGTGAGATCCCTTTGTAACTCTTTGCAGTTAGCTTTGGACTAGGGATGTAAATATAGTTTTAAAAAGTACCTGTTTAAACTATTAAAATTATATTGGTTAACTGTTTTAATCGTTAAGTTTACAATCTACATTTTACATCCACACTTTGGACTTAACTATCTGGAATAGTTTTGTATTGTCTGCAAGTTTTGACACCTCACAGGTCACCCATTTTTCCAGATCATTTATGAATATGTTGAACAGCACAGGATCCTTGGGGGACCCTGCTATTTACCTCTCTCCATTGTGAAAAGTGATCACTTATTCCTACCATTTGTTTCCATCTTTTAACCAGTTACTGATCTTTGAGAGGACCTCCCCCCCCCTTGATTGCTTATTTTGCCTAAGAGTTTTTGGTGAGGGACCTTGTCGGGCTTTATGAAAGTCCCAGGACACTATATCCACTGGATCACCCTTGTCCACATGCTTGTTGACCTCCTGAAAGAATTTTAAATAGATTGGTGAGGTATGATTTCCTGGTATAAAAGCCGTATTGACTCTTCCCTAGCATATAGTGTCCATCTATGTGTTTGATCATTGTGTTCTTTACTATAGTTTCAACCTTCAAGCTTGCTTGGCACAGAAGTTAGGCTTACAGGTCTGTAATTGCCAGTCTTGCCTATGGATCCTTTTTTTAAAAATCCGCATTACATGAGCTATCCTCCAATTATCTGGTACTGAGGCTTATTTGAGTGATAGGTTACATACCACGGTAGTAGTTCTGCAATTTCTTATTTGAGTTCCTTCAGAACTCTTGGGTGATTACCATTGGGTCCTGATGACTTATTACTGTTTAATTTATAAATTTGTTCCAAACCTCCTCTACTGACATCTCAGTCTGGGACAGTTCTTCAGTTTTGTCACTTAACTAGAATGACTTGGATGTGGGGATCTCCCCCATATCCTCTGCAGTTAGGACTGATGCAAAGAATTAATTTAGCTTCTCTGCAATGGCCTTGTCTTCTGTGAGTGCTCCTTTAGCACCTTGATTGTCCAGAGGCCCCACTCACTGTTTGGCAAGCTTCCTGTTTCTGATGTACTTAAAAAAAAAAGTTTGCTATTTAGTTTTGGTGGATAATGCATCTTTCCAAAATGGTACAAAGAATATACAGTAACTTTTACCATGATAGTGCTCATATCAGTAGAGTGGGAAAACAACATGAGATGTCAAAGAGACAAGGTGGACCAACGGAAGTTGGTCCAATAAAAGATATTACCTTACTTACCTTGTTTCTTTAATATCCTGTGACCAACATGGCTACAACAACACTGCATACAGCATAAGATGTTAACAGTTACTGATTTTGTAAATGGTGAGCAATTTAAGAACACTCTAAAATATAAAGAACTAACTTGTTAAAGTAATGGTTTTTGTTTTTTGTTCTAGAACTTGCACTTGCATCTTTGTTCAGTCTGAATGCCTTATTTGATTTCTGGAGGTATTTCAAATACACTGTGGCACCAACTAGCTTAGTTATGAGTCCTGGACAGCAGACCCTTCTTGGGCTTCAGAATGCATGTAAGTGTGACAATTATCTCTGGCAGTAGTCTTTAAAATGGTGTCTACATGTGAGTTTGTAAATGTTTAACCTTCTGAACAGACTGCCATAGGTCTCAATCTAGCATGGGCCTCCAAACACAGATGACTAGAAAAACAAGAGAGATGCAGTCAATACCTTCTGAACGGTAGGAGAGTTGATTCAGGGAGCATTTTGATTGACTTCACCTTACTGCTCCCTGCAGATGGGGTAACTAGGTGAAGTGGAATGAAAATTCAGAAGATCAAGAAGTTACTTGATTACCATGTACCAGTAGCTTCATGAAAGAAAGTATTGAGTGATAAAGGGCTCTTTACTTTAGCAGAGAAAGGCATAACAAGAACCCATGGCTGGAAGCTGAAGCCTGACAGAGTTAACTTAGAACACATTTTTAACAGTGAGGGTGACTGACTTTTGGAACAAACTGCTGAAGGAAGTGGTGGATTATCACTCTCTTGATGTCTTCAAATCAAGACGGAATGCCTTTGTGGAAGATATTCTTCAGTCAAACACAAGTTATTGGGGTCAGTATAGGGCAGGGGTTCTCAAACTCAGGGTTGTGACCCCTCAGGGTGTCATGAGGTTATTACATTGGGAGCCACGAGTGTCGGCCTCCACCCCAAACCCTGTTTCACCTCCAGCATTTATAATACTGTTTAACACTTTTTTAAAAAAATATATATTTATTTGTAAGGGGGGGTCGCACTCAGAGGCTTGCTGTGTGAAAGGGGTCACCAGTACAAAAGTTTGAGAACCACTAGTGTAAGGATAATTGGGTTAAATTATATGGCCTGTGTTAGGAGGTTGAACTAGATGATCACATGGACCCTTCTGTCCCTAATCTATGAATCTGTATCACTGTTTCCAACATCTGCAAACAAATGCATATATCTAAATGGTTCATAATGTCTCTTCCATCTTTGACCTCTGATCTAGAGCAGTAGCGAGTGGGGGAGCCAGGGGAATTAGCAAAAAGTTACTTGAGGGGAGATAATTGGAACAGGAGAAGAAGCAATAATGATAAAGAACAAACAAAACAAAAAAAGACAGGAGAAAAGGGTGACTGGTGGAGTGTAGGAGACAAAAACAATGAGAGAAATTCAAACTCTATGGTGAATGGGCTGAGGTGTAGTTCCCTGTGTGTGGGACTGGGGAGGAGGCACAGATGGAGGGCTTACGTTTAAATAAGACATCATAGTAATCTACACACTGGGTAAAAATAGCCATGTTAGAAACCTTAAGGTAAAATATAAAAATGACAAACTAAACATCAGTCCCTTCATAAAATGTTTTGAGTTTCTAAACAAATTACTAAGAAACAGAAGAACATGACAAAGCAGATGTACCAAATGTGGAATGCCAGCACACGACTACCACACTCGACTAGTCTGACCTCTGACTGCAGAAAGATGCCACCAGGTTGGAGGGACTTCATAGGAAAGCATCAATAAAGATCAGGGGCATAGAAGAACATGAGTAAGGATTGTGGTGTAGTGTGATTGATCTACGTGCAAAGATTAAAACAAGTATGTGTAACTTGACTAAACTATGAAGGGAACATATCAGTCCCTGGGTATTGAAACTCTTTGGAGATGGTGTGTATAGGTAGGGTTAAGAAAATGAAGTTAAAAATGGAAACTTTCCCAAAGAACCTGACTGAAGCTCCTTACTAGAGAAATTTTAAATTAGATATGCCTATAATAGTGCTCTGTGCAAAGCACTTGCTTGCTATTGTAGCTAGGCACAGTACAAGAGCTTTAAAATAGTAGGGTCCATCCATAAGGAACAACCTTGTAAAGAATAGGAAATGTTCCTGCATTGACCATAGGGAAGGACTGGATGTGACGTAATAGGTCTCTCATTATGTGTGTTACTATTATTTGTGTATACTGCTATGTTTGTAATAGCAAAGTAACGAGAGGGCCCTGCTGAGCTAGACCAGGGGCGGGCAAACTTTTTGGCCTGAGGGCCACCTTGGGTTTCCAAAATTGTATGGAGGGCCGGTTAGGGGAGGCTGTGTCTCCCCAAACAGCCAGGCATGGCCTGGCCCCCGCCTCTAATCTGACTCCCTCTCCCCCCGCACCCCCCCCCCGCCACCTCGTGACTGCTCCCCCAGGACTCTTACCCTATCCATCACCCCCTGTCCCCGGACCCCCCACCCTTGACTGCCCCCTGCCGCTCCATCCAATCACTCTTCTCATTCCTGATTGCCCCCTGGGACCCCTGCCCCATCCAACCCCCCTTCTCCCTGTGCCCTGATAGCCCCTGGAACCCCTGCCCCTGACTGCCCCCCGCCACCCCATCCAACTCCCCCCCTTCCTGACTGCCCCGCCCGGGACCCCTGCACCTACTCAACCTCCCTGTTCCCCGCACCCTGACCACCACCTCCAACTCCCCTGCCCTCCGTCCAACCCCTCTCTGCCCCCTTACCACGCTGCTTGGGGCACCGGTGGCTGGCTACAGCTACGCCGCTCAGAGCACCGGGTCAGGCCGCGGCTCTGCAACTGCGCTGCCCGGCCGCCCAGAACGTTGCGGTGGTGCTGAGGCTGCGGGGGAGGGGAGACAGCAGTTGAGGGGCTGGGAGCAAGCCTCCCAGGCCAGGATCTCAAGGGCCGGGCAGGAGGGTCCCGCGGGCCGGCTATGGTTTGCTCACCTCTGAGCTAGACTGTATGCAAACACATAGCAAGATAATCCCTGCCCTGAAGTGGTTTCAGTCTAAATAGGTAAGATAAAGGGTGGAAGAAAGGTAAGTATTTTATTCCCACTTTGCAGATGGAGAACTGAGGCACAGAGGTGTAGTGACTTACCCAAGGTCACACAGTGTGTCTGTAGCAGAATTTAACCCAAGTCTTTTGAGTTTCAGTGGAGTTTTCAAACCACAAGACCATCCTTTTACTTTTTCACAGCTCTAGTTTCTGTGCTTGTGACTTGGCTGCTGAATTTTATAGGTCTGAGATTTTTCAACTCTCCTTTTCTGGTCTCAGTGTAGGATTTTCTTAAGATAGTAAAGAAGTAAAACAACAATTAAGAAAAATGATCCAGACTTCTGCTCCTTCAGCCCTAATTCTGCTTTTTTTTATTACAGCAGTACAAACAACTCCGCCCCGTGAGCTAGTGACCAAGAAAGTCCCTTCTTCAACACCTTCTCCTCCAATCCAGGGTCAGAGTGTGCTGAGTTACAGCCCATCCCGCTCACCTAATACCAGCCCAAAGTTTGCCACTGGTTGCATGACTGGGTACAGCCCTCAGCTACAGACTTTGTCAGGCAGCAGCAGTTCTTATAGCACTGCTGTGACCTACTCACCAAACAGCAACTACAGTAAGGTAATAGCCTTGATAACCCAATGTAACAAGTTGGAATTTGCTTATTAGATTGCTTGTATTGTGCCCTACACTGCAGAACCTGATTCTCCAGTAGCATGCACCTTGTGTATTTATTTACACCCTTTGCACAGCAGATGTAAAATTTTACCCGACAGGAATTCTCCAGTCTCCCACTGGTGATAGCATTTTATTCACTTTGTACCACCTGGCAGTCATGCAGTAAGAATTTAAATAAACCAACCAGCAGCTGAAACATACTAAAGCCAAAGTGGTGTCTAGTTTAACAGTAACTAGCAATGCAGTAACAACTTGGATAAATGGGGATAAATAACATTAATTTTGTTTACAGATTGTTTTATTTGTAAAGCTGGAATTCTACTTATTAGTTTCAATCATTCACTCTATTTCCCACAGGTATCCAGCTTCAGTCCCTCCCCTGGTGCCTCACCATACCCCACCAGCATTGGACCAGTGGAAAGCAGTGGGCTGAGGTCTCGGTACCGTTCTTCGCCAACTGTGTATAACTCGCCTATTGGCAAAGAAGATTATATGACAGACCTAAAGTCCCTGGACAGCTTCCTTCAAAGTGAAGAAGAGAAGCAACATCGAGTTCAGCTGGGTAAGTAAGTAGCTCTGTTTGGTCTAGAAGTTGTTTTTTTAGTGCATTTGTAGGATGGTATTCCAGTTCTTCTGGTGTACGGTAGACACAGATGTGCCAATCTTAATGAAATGGACTTAAGTCATTTGCACAGTAGCCACCTCTTAACAAATCCTTGTAGAAGGCACAGTCTGAAGACTGATGCAGAACAAATTAAGTCTTTTACTGAATAGTCTAAGTGAGATGTGAAGCAGAGCTCCAAGACTGCTACAGCCCTTTTGTAACACAGAAGCCTTGGGGAAACTTTCCAGAGAATAAAGTCTTGTCTTATAGATAGAAATGTACAGCTGTTTGACACTCTGGAGACAACCCATGGATGTCTATAAATGACAAACTATATCTGTATAGGACTCATTGGCCTACAGTAAAGGCTCAGGGCCTTCATCTTGACAAGAGGTATGGCCTGTGGAGAAGGCATCTCAGAACAAGGTGCCAAGTAATCTGCAGGTGGCCTGTGTCCTGAAAAGGCACTTTTTATTATTGAGATGACAATGTATTTTACATAGACTACGTTTGGCATTTGGGGTTCATAGCAACTTGTGGATGCGTCCTTCCTGTCAAAGCCTAAATGCTCTGACCTGTTACCTGTACAGGAACCTCCCACTGTTTAAAAATTGCTTGGCGCTCAGCACGGAGTAATCGTTTGTTTACTGAACGGGTAATTTCAGGGGGTTCAGATTCCAGCTCTCCTTCCAGCAGTCCGAGTCTTTGGAACTGCGGCCGTTCCGTGGGAGACTGTGCACAAGTGCTGAGGAAGTCCCGGTACCAGCTGGCCTGCAGGTCCCAAGCCCCCTCAGCACACAAAGACGACGCTGATCTGAGCTCGAAGCAGGCGGCAGAAGAGGTAAATAGAAAACTCAAGGGAATCACGAGGGGGGGGAAAAAATTACAGTTGTGAATTTTGCAATCTTCTGCAAGGATTTGGATGTGTCTCCCGTTCACATTGCTGGAAAGAGGGGGTAAACCCCATAGCATTGAATTGCCTTCATATAATTTAGAAAAAGACTTTCTTACTACAAACTTCAGTCTGAACTGGTTTGTTGGAAACTACATTATCTTCACCAGTAGAGGGCAATTGTAAATTTGTTTGGGGTAAAAAAGTGACTTCTGACCAAACACTTCTGGATATACCTGCTGTATAGAATTTTGTAGTTTTTAGTAGTCATTTTGTGGGCAGTGGTGGGAAACAGTAAACATAGATTTAACCTTTTCCTGTGTCCTAAATATAAAGGGAAGGGTAAACCCCTTTGAAATCCCTCCTGGCCAGGGGAAAGCTCCTCTCACCTGTAAAGGGTTAAGAAGCTAAAGGTAACCTCGCTGGCACCTGACCAAAATGACCAATGAGGAGACAAGATACTTTCAAAAGCTGGGAGGAGGGAGAGAAACAAAGGGTCTGTGTCTGTCTGTATGCTGCTTTTGCCAGGGACAGAACAGGAATGGCGTCTTAGAACTTTTAGTAAGTAATCTAGCTAGGTATGTGTTAGATTATGATTTCTTTAAATGGCTGAGAAAAGAATTGTGCTGAATAGAATAACTATTTCTGTCTATGTATCTTTTTTGTAACTTAAGGTTTTGCCTAGAGGGGTTCTCTATGTTTTTGAATCTAATTACCCTGTAAGATATCTACCATCCTGATTTTACAGGGGGGATTTCTTTATTTCTATTTACTTCTATTTTTTATTAAAAGTCTTCTTGTAAAAAACTGAATGCTTTTTCATTGTTCTCAGATCCAAGGGTTTGGGTCTGTGGTCACCTATGCAAATTGGTGAGGCTTTTTATCCAACATTTCCCAGGAAAGGGGGGGTGCAAGTGTTGGGAGGATTGTTCATTGTTTTTAAGATCCAAGGGTCTGGGTCTGTAGTCACCTAGGCAAATTGGTGAGGCTTTTTACCAAACCTTGTCCAGGAAGTGGGGTGCAAGGTTTTGGGAAGTATTTTGGGGGGAAGGACGCGTCCAAACAGCTCTTCCCCAGTAACCAGTATTAGTTTGGTGGTGGTAGCGGCCAGTCCAAGGACAACGGGTGTAATATTTTGTACCTTGGGGAAGTTTTGACCTAAGCTGGTAAAGATAAGCTTAGGAGGTTTTTCATGCAGGTCCCCACATCTGTACCCTAGAGTTCAGAGTGGGGGAGGAACCTTGACATCCTGTTTTAATCAATTTTTCACAAACACCTTAATTATGTAGTAATATATAACAACTCTAGATATAGTAGTTCAGTATGGAGTTCAAAAACTAGTAGTTTAACTGCATTCTTGGACTTAGTGATGTTGAGAAATCTTCACTTCTTACATTTTATACTATGGGTAAAAGTGTTAGTAACAGTAATAATTAACTGCATTTAGTGCATGTCAAGCAGCTGAATGTATATTGAAAATCCTCCATTGCACCTGTACGTGCTCAGTGGATTTTGTAAGACACCTGGAGAAGTGTACCGCACATCTGAGTTTAGTGTGGCCAATAGGAGTATCTCTTAACTTGCCTGTCTTTTAATTAAATTATCCCTTTTCTCTACCTTGCATGTTGATTTAGTTAGTGTAACTTTCGATTAAATTAAACCTTTTCTAGAAATCTTACTAGCTTAGTCCAGTTTTATCCTAATACAAATAGCTATGGGTACTGAAATAGTGCGTCTAGACTTGGTGTGTTAAACCAGCTGGTATATAGTCCTCATGAACTGTCCTGTGAGATATGACAGGTTTCAGAGTGTGAGGTATGAACATTCTAAAACCTAGCTGAGGCTTATGATGGACATGCTGTAATTAGTATCAATAAGATGGCTTGGCCTCTAAAAGCCACATTGTGTTCAGCTGGGTTCCTATATCTTTGCAGTAAGTCTCTTAAACTACTTAACTTTGTGCCTAGGTTTGGTTGAGGGTGATAATGAATCGACAACTACTCAATCATGTGGACTCATGGACAGCTAAGTTCAGAAATGTAAGTCCTATCATTGCTCTTTAGAGTCTAATATTTCAGTGTCCTGTCCTTATTTCTGCAGAACTCAGCTAGAAAGTACATGAGTACTTCATCATTTGCCTCAGCCTTAATGGAACTGAGTTATGGTATAAACTTGGTAGGGTGTAATACTTCCTTAATGATCTTTGATTCATAACAGAACTTTGCTTTTTGATTTAATTGTATTATATTAGAATGTTGGGGGGGAAATCGAGTTGCCACATGTGTACCGAAGGTTGTAGAAAGAACTACAGAGTGTATTTGAGGATTAGCAAATGGCTGTGTAACTAGCAAGTAACACAAAGCATGCTCACAAGGGGGCGATATTAAGGTTACACGTTCAACCTTAACTCCTGCACTTGCTGACTTTTGTGCTATGACATCCTGGAAACTTCAAATTGTAAAGTTCATACCAATGAAAATGAGTAGACTTGTTTTTCCCTTTTCCACAACTCAACCTGCTGACTCTGTTTTCCTCAAACATTTCAAAATAACTCACCTGGGCTGAACTGAAGCATGGAAAATCCCATCCCCAAGGTTAAAATTTTCCAAAAGGTCTGAGCAGCTGAAAAGTTAGAATGAAAATCCTGACATAATCTGACTTTTAAGAACAGTTATTTCTGCTATTGCAGACCTAACTACACTTCAAGGTAAAAGTATTAGTTAACCAAATAACAAATTACTCCAACACACCACTTGTTGGAGTTCATGACACCCTCCAGGCATGTTTGTTTAAGACAATAATATCCATGAAAAGCTCAAGTGTTCACAAATAATATATTTCTGTCAGCACCCTTCTTCCTTAAAACAGACTGTGGGAATTATGGACACATGCAAGCATAAATTAACAGTGTGTGGATGACTTGCAGCTTTCATACCATTATTCCCCTCACCATCCAAAAAATCTGTATCATGGTCTAGAAATGTTGTCTACAACTCACTCATTGAACTTTTAAATAGTCATTCAAACCCTACCATAAGCTGATAGTCTGTTTACTTAATAACTTTGTATATCTCTTCTGCTCCCTTAAATGTTTGTTGTTCACCTTTTTACTTTGCAGTCATAACAGTAATTCAGATACTGATTAGGGTATAGTAACACTTCACACAGACTTCCTATTGCTTCTTATCTTTTTAATTGTCTGTCTGTCTTTCTCTCCTCTTCTAGTGGATTAACGAGACTATTTTAGTGCCACTTGTGCAAGAGATTGATTCTGTGAGCACTCAGCTGAGAAGAATGGGGTGTCCAGAGTTGCAGATTGGAGGTATGGAGATACTGTAATAGATTTGGTTCAGTTTTCATTAGTACCTGTGCTCAGGATGAAAACTTCCAGGCAGAAAAGGGTGTTCTTTGCAACCTTAAGAACTAGAAACAGGTTTTTTTTATGAGAGAGAGCTTGGATTATACAGCAGCTTCCACAGATGCAGAAAACACAGGAACCTTGTTACAGCTGCATCAGTGAGGAGACTATGTTCATTCCAATTGAGCCTCCTGAGGCAAATCCCTTAAGACAATAACCTGGTATTTGATGTCTAACTGTTAGAATTCAGGCTAGCAGCTATAAGAGCATCTATCTTCAATTAAACTGATGTTTAATCTGAAGTAATTCCACTTATTTGCATTGTTACATCAAACTTGCACCAATTTAACTGAGAACATAATTTGGCCTTCTATTTTGTAGGCTACTTAAACTTTAATCTCTCCTTAAAACCCACTTCTGCTGTGACACATATGAGAAATTAACCGACTAATAATGGCTAGATGGAGAGGCAGTTAGGAATCTGCTATATATTTAGTCAAATAGAACACTAGAAAGTTTGTCGTATCCCCTTTTCCCACCATTATAAGTTTATTTTGTCTCATAGGATGCAAGGTCTTCAGGACAGGGACTGTCTTCCCTTGTGTGTGGTGCCTAGCATGTTTTGTATGCCATGGTGATGTAAATAACACAGACTCAACCTTTCTCCCAGTGAAGTAAACGTAGGAGTAAACTACTTCTCTAAGATCAGAATTTGGTATTTTGCAACATCAGTGGTGATGTAGTGTGCCAACTGTTCCTAGGACCCAGCTTCTCAGAGTGCAACAGGAAAGCAAGCTGAACAGAATGTGTCAACTCTTTGTAATAGTCTGTTAATGAGCTTCTGAGTAAGTGAGGATGTTCAGTGTTCTGCGATGGCCATAGATCATATATGCTGGTGCTTTTTTGTATTGCAGAAGCCAGTATTAGCAGTCTGAAACAAGCTGCTCTTGTTAAAGCTCCACTCATCCCGACACTGAACACTATAGTGCAGTACCTGGACCTTACACCAAACCAGGAATATTTGGTTGAAAGAATCAAAGGTAAATGGTTGTCAGGCACACTTAAAATGTGCTTCATTACAGTTTTCCTGTGTCAAGTGTTAGTGAAGTTGAACACTGTCAACAAGACCTTTGAACTTGGGTTTCAGCAGTATGAAGGAGGGGCTGCTTTTCAAGTAGTGGAAATACACAAGTATTTGTAATTTTCTACTATTGTTTAAAGTGACTTAATGATTTGGGATCTTAATATCATTTACAATATTCTTAAAACAAAAGCTTTGTCACTTTTGAATGTGTGTTCTGGAAACTTATTGTTGGATTTAATCAATCTCTTCTCTTACTACTTTATGCTTCCCTGATTTAATTCCAAATAAAACTGAGTTTTAGGATTTAAATCTTTTTAAAAATCCTGATGGTGATTTTTAAAATTTGCTTCGCAGGTGTTTTTCTTGCGTGCATTTCTCATGTATACAGCACCATAAATATGCATGATGTCTGAAACAGACATAATAGATTGCCTTCTTCCATTTCCATCTCCAACCTTGCCCCAAAATAACTTCATATAAACTCTGTTGCCTTTAGAGCTTTCTCAGGGAGGATGCATGAGTTCATTCCGATGGAACAGAGGAGGGGACTTCAAGGGCCGTAAATGGGATACTGATTTGCCCACTGATTCTGCTGTAAGTTTGCATAGTTGTGTTTTGATGAAACTTAAAATGCATTATTTTTCAGTGCTAGTAGTAGGAATATGAAGTAGAGAGAGAGCTTGTGAATCTTTTGAGGAACATGATCCAAATCCTGCACACCTCATTTGCCAAAGTAATCCCATTGCACTCAATGAGATTACTTGGTAGAATTATGCAAACCAGATCTAGCCCCATACAGATCACAAAAATAATATTGTTGTGTACCTTAATCTTGCGTCACTCTTACTTAGACATAATTGAAATGCCTGTTTAATAGCTGTGGTGGGTGTAGCCTGACTTGCTCCGACCGTGATACTGCAATTGTTTTCTACATTCAGACACAATTTAACTAATCATCTGCATTCAAATGAATCTTCTATAAAATAATTCCTAATACAGGAACAAATCATTAAATGACTTCACCTTGATTATATGTCTAATTTCAGTTCTCCAAAGCAGATTGCAAAGTAAACACATGAAAGAATAATAAACATGGATTGAGTGGTCTTGTGCCCATTTAATTGAGTATTGTTTGCTGTGAAATCCTAAATGACTAACTCAAAGGAGTAAATAATCTAGTTGGAGAGAGACTCTCAGTGTGGCTGAGCTGAGTGACCTGAAAGGCCAGAGGATAAGTGTGTTTTAGCAGAAACAGTAACATGTACTTGAAAACAGGGAATTAAAATATTACTTCAGTTGTCAGAAAACTGACACGACATAGAGACAAAGAGTAATGACACATGAGTGACACAATTCTGAGGATTTTTTTTTCTTGCTGTCTCTGCAAAAGATAGCTGACGTCCTGCCTTGAGTCAAGTGGGAACCTACTAGTTCTTAAGGGAAAGCACTCATAGTCATGAGAGAGAATATTACATCCGGGAATGGAGCCATTTTTTTTTTCCCCCTCCCACAACCAACCAGATGAGATGCCATTGGAGACTATATTGAATATCTAAATACTAATAAGCGAAGACTAGTTCTGACAAATCATCCTAAACTTCTGTAAAGCCCTGAATGAGTTACTAGTCTAAAATATATTAAATGTACGTTGAGGAAATGTTAAAATTGAAAATTTCAAGTCAACAAATGCAAAATTGCAGTACATGCAATATGAATAATGTTACTGTAAGAACCTTAACATACATTTAACACTAACAGTAGGTACAGTTTAGTTTTATCTGCTTTCCACTGTGTACTGGTTCTAGCATTCTTCCCCGTATATAGGGCGTACTTAGGGTGACCAGATAGCAAGTGTGAAAAATCGGGACGGGGGTGGGGGGTAATAGGAGCCTATATAAGAAAAAGCTCCGAATATCGGGACTGTCCCTATAAAATCAGGACATCTGGTCACCCTAGGGGTACTTGTTCAGACTGAGAGAGTTGGTCTTAAGTTTTACAAAAAACTTAATGTGGGAGTGAGTATACAGTTTGCCAAACCATGGTTGGTTTGAATCTGTTGATCTCAATCAGACCTTTAAAGATAATGGGGCAGGAGGGAAGGAGTTAAAATAAATATTCTGGTTTGGGGCCCATGTTCGCTTCTAAATTTTGGAACTTTGCTTTGAGGTGCAGAGATAAAAACACTATGTCAGAGCCTCGGTGTAGCCACTGACATACAGCCATCTCTGGAAGGGAATGAATATGCCACATTGTGGCTGACGTCTTGTTGTTCAGCTGACAGATGAACCTTGACTTGTCAACATCTTACATAAATATTCTGGCCAATGTCAAGTGTTGGGCCACTGAGGACAGTGGTTAAAGCACTCCACTGCTTTGTCCCTTTTTAAATTTGCTGAGGTTCAGTCAAAGCTGTAATAGGATCTGAGATCGTTAAAGATTAACCACTTTATTGTAGCAGTTGTTTCTACAATATGTCTGATAGGCACTAAATTCTGATTTAATTTTTTCTTCAGATCATTATGCACGTGTTCTGCACTTATCTTGACTCCAGGCTGCCTCCTCACCCAAAATATCCTGATGGTAAAACATTTACCTCACAACACTTCATTCAAACACCAGATAAGCCAGGTATTGGCATCCTTTGTCCCTTTGTTTGCTGGGATTGACTGGTTGGATCACGTCCTTCATGTCCATATTATCTCTTAAATTTCTATTCATAGATGTTTCAAATGAGAATGTTATTTGCATCCACCAGAGCACCATCAACCCTCCCCACTATGAACTTATCTACCAGTGCCAAGTTTACAACTTACCCAAGGTATGAACATGGTCCTTTTCTTCTGATACCTCAAGAAAGCTACATACATTCTGAAAACTCTAGCTGATGTTGATTGGTTATCTTTTTTGAGCAGTCAGGTTTATTGACAGGGGAATTGTCTTTGAATGTAGCAAAGCTCAGTGCAATGTACAAGGCAACATTCTACCTTGATCTAGTGATAGCCCTTGGCATATAAGTTGCTACTAAATAACACCATTAAAATAAAGAGCCTCAGTAGAGTAGGGAAGGCAGTATCTTCCCCTTGTTGCATGTTCTTTTGATAAGTTGCTAGTGTTTAAAATAAGTAATTTAGACCCCAGAGGTCTGTGTTAATTCTTCAGCACCAGCAGATCTTGTGTCTCTTACTAGCAAAAGTCTGTGTTGGAAAAATTTCCATTCCCAGAATCAAAAGGTTATATTGATGCTGTTGGATCCCTGGTCAAAACTTGAGCCCTAGTTTCAGAAATGATTGTCAATTCCTCTAGTCCTTAAAAGAGTGGAAGGTCATAATCCAGCCTAACAAATTTTCTCTTTTTGCATTTGCCCAGCTGGAGGATATAAGCTGTGTCGCAAAACTAACTTAAATCCTGGAGGTTCATTATGGTGAAGAAGCCCATAATATTATTCCTTTGGTAATGGTTTCCCTCCTATAGCAGTTTTTCATCTCAAAATACTTTGCAGGTCAGCATACTAATGCCATAATGATATTTACCCAGTGAAGTGCAGCCGCCTCTCGTGTGGAGTGTGACAGCTGTTTAACAATGGAAAGCATCATTACACAAAAGCTTAGGACAGGAAGTGAAGGGTATTTTCTTTTAAGTAAGAAATTGTGCAGAACTTTCAGACTGAATATTGTATGTATTACTTAATCTTCACCTTCTTCTCTTCCTGTGAGTTCAGGGCAGAAACAACATGTTCCATACCTTGCTTATGTTCCTGTGCATCATAAAGACAAAAGAATCTGGGATGCTTGGGTAGGTATAGAGTGCCATGAATCCCTGTATTTAATACAGGCTGAGAACTGTAACATTCCTTGTTGTAAATAAGCAGTTTAGCTGCATGTAGACTGATCTTAAGTTCCTGTAAAAACAGTCTGTGTTCTTCACTGTACGGCAATTTCTTGCTGGTCTGTAAACACCCTATTTCTTTCACTCTCCCCCAACACGCTCTTTTGGCTGCCTCCTACATTCTTATGATAAATAATTTAAAACTTGCAATTTGCATTTCTAACGGAAATACAGAACATTATTCTTTCTCCTCAAGCTTGAGACAGGGAGGTAAGGGCCCTTTTCTCTTTTTTGAACAAGGATATAAATCTACCTTAAAAACCTGACTCCACTTTCCAGGGACAGCTAAAAGTTTGCATTTCAGGCTGAGCTCTTCAAACACAAGAGCTTTACTCTGAGCTTCCATGGGGAAAGTCGAGCTCCTCAGTTCCTGAAAAGACTAATTCCGGGCAGCAAATGAGGACTGACAATTAAATGCACTAAAAAAAGTACTATGGGGAATTGTGCACTCTTATGTCCTACTGAAATCTGGGATAGGAGCACTTAAATTATGCAAGTTCTAAGGAGTATCAGATTGATTAAGCAAGGAAAATTAGTACACTGAAATGAAATAAAATAATTTTAAAAGCTTCTTATACTTATTTGAGCCTCTAGGTGCATAAAAAGAGTTGCATTTTATTTGCAGGCTGACAGTCTAGTGGAGCACAAACTGAAATATTGGCCTCTTTAGTCACTGTCTGGCTAGATGCTGGCCTGAAATCCACTGCCATTGAGAAATATAGGTATAATTAGATGCCATCATTAGCCACTAATCTTTGCTTTTTGAGCTGTATAAGAAATTTTGAATATGTGTACTGGGCAACTCTGCCTACGTTGACATAAAAGTGAAGTCCAGACTTTCCCATTTAATTCCTGTGGGGTTGTACTCTGTTCATAGTGAAGCACAACTCTTAAACAGAAGGAACATTTGGCAGGGATTGAAAGAACTGCTGGAGTCAGGAGCTTACAACCTGTCTTGGCAACTTTGCTTTAAATGTACGTTTGGGGTTATTGTTATTTTATTATGGCGACTTTGTCTTCGCAGGCGAGTAAATCTTGGCTTATCAGGAGTGAATGTTCTGTGGATCTTGGGAGACTAGTACATCATTGTTCACTTTGGATGGCCTCCCCCTTCACAAAGTGAGAAACAATCTCTGAGATAACTAAACAGCTTATTACACTTGTGCCTTGAACATAAACCTACAACGATGTACTCGTATGAGATCCTTGTGAACATAGGATATGTTTGCATTCAATACACTGTTTGCATGAGAACATACTTCCAGCACTGAAATACTCCTACCAGCTCTTTTGCGCAAAGACGTCTCTTTACAACTTCCCACCTTTACAAGCCCTACTTTAAAAGCCTTCACCATTCTTCTGGCTGAGTTGCCCTCCAGAGGCCACCACTGCTGATACTGGAATTAGAAGCAACTCAGCGGTACCCCTGCCAGCTTGGGGAATGAATTGTGAGCCCTCATCTGCGTGACAGGGTAGAATACTACAGCGCAACTTGGACTGCCCTACTAAGGTTGTACACTGCTGCTTGGTACTTGTTACTTCAGTGCTGCCACTTGACAAATCAGTCACTGCAAGTGTGGCCAAGTGCAAGATCCACATGCACTGGGAAATGCCACATAATCAGGATTCTCTTCGGCTTATGCAGAAAGGCTTGTGGCTATCCATCATTGGAGTACCAGTGTAGTGGGATTTTGTGGCACCATCACACTTTTAAAGTGACTGCACTGTAGGTGTAAGTGAAAGAAAACTTCAGACCCTACACACCAGTTAGACTATATTCTTATGGATCTTTTTTTTTTTAAACAAAATAACCCGAAATCTTTTAAACTGGAGTGTGTTTGGGGCAACAAAACGTTGCTGATGTCTTGACTGCAGTTGAAGTCTTGCCCTAACTTCATTTATTTTTTAAAAAGTTCTCGCATTAGTATTTCTGGTATTAATCCCCTATTTTTAGAGGTGTTTGAGCTGTAAAAATTTACTCTAAAATGGAATGTAGCTTCAGTGTGTCTGCATAAGAACAAAATTTTTACACTTAAATCAGGATGTCCTAGGAGTCCAAAGGGGCATCATCTCCTCCACGCCCCCATAGCCCCACGTTGCTGGGAATTTCATCATAACCAAGGACAAACAGATGCAACTTGACCATCGTTAGTCACTGGAGGAACTTGAGGCTCTGCTGGTGTTTCCTGCCCGGGGCAGATAGCAATGACCCAGAAGCAAGAATCAAATTTATGACTTGAACTCCTGTCTTGTATGGGTGGCACGTCACTTTAGATCCTCAGGCCAGCCAACACCTTACTTTGAGAAAAAAGACCTGTTCTGCTCTTTATGACAAGTATTTACAATGGTGGGATGTCCCTGGATAACCCAGCATGGTTTTTTTACAGTTATATAAGCAATTGCTCTGCAATGTAGACTAGTTGCTCCCTGGAAAAATTTGAGTTAAACTTGTTTTAAACAAAATGGATTCCTACATGTATGCCAAGGTTTTTTCCTATAGGGATAAAGGATACATTGCAAATCCTGGTAACCAGGGAATTTTAAAAATGTGTGCTATAGGGTTCTTTTTAAAAATATATATATTGTGGGGACCATTTCAGAAGCCCTCTGGTAAGGGTAATGTTAAGGGTTCTCCTGTTTCTTTCAGTCTCTTGTCATCAGGTATGACGTTAAGGCAGGGTGGCCTACTTAATTTTACCCTTTCAACCCACAATAACCGGAAAATTGAGACCACAATGTCACTGTGTTAAACTGCCAACGATGATGCTCTGTAGAACCCTGCTTGAAGTATTCCTCCAGGATTCAGTAAAAGAGCTGGCTGGTTAGACTTGTGAAGAATACACAAGGTTTGTATTGGTTTTACAATGACTACACTCTTTTGTACTGTGTTCAGTTTTTACTGAACTGTGGATTGCCTACCTAGATGAGCAGGTGGGGACAAGTTTGGAAATGTCATTTTTAGTATGCTCAGCACAATTACCATTCATGATCTCAGTTGGACTGTTTGGTATTTTTAATGCATGAGCCGAACTTATTGCCATTGTCTGTCAGAACTGCATCTTACTCTACAACTTCCCCCAGGAGGTATGAATTTTTCCTGGAGATCAGACTGTTAACAATGGTTAATTTGGTGCCTGTATTAAATGGGTTCATTTGGTTAAACGTGTGTGTGTGGTTTTGTGCAATAACAAATGGCATATTTTGTCTCCCAAATATCTGTTTACACACCCCATATCATCTAGTTTGAGACTTATTTCCGCATTATACAATTCACTGTCAGGTTTGCATGTCAGTTCATCTGTAGCAATGAGTAACTAAACTTTACTGTAATGTGGCATGTGCTTAGAAAAGGTGGCAAAGAACTGACAGATACACTATTTGAGTGGCATTTAAGGCAGGAAGGAAATTGGTTTGGTCTGGTAACAATCATGTTAGTGCATGCCGTTCTAATTGAAGCTGCTCAAGGGTATCTGAAAGCAGACAGTAGTTCTAATGTCTTCCATCTTGAACACTGCACATATCTTGTGGGTGAGACAGCCCAGCAGCAGGAAACACAACCATTATGGTTCTAACACCTCTAGTGCTAAAATATATCACATAGGTTCCAACAGATACTTGCTTCTTCCTTTATGAACTTTCAGATTGTTTGTTTGGAGACAGAAGAGAGAAATAGACATAGCTGTTGAAGCTTGGGCTTTTGGTCTGAAATCTGAACAAAGTTAGCTAATGAGTTCTTTGCATAAGTTTTTCAGGAGTAATATCTTATCCAAGAGCTACTTTTTTCTTGAAACCACATAATATCTAGTATTTTAAAAAAAACTATGCAAAGGCAATATTAGTCATCAAACTATAGAAGAAAGCTCATCCAAATTTTGTTTAACTGTTTGGAGCCTGCCACTGTTTCACTGAAAGTGGCTACTGTCCTGAGTGCAAATATTATGCAGGCTCTCAACCCTTCCAGACTACTGTACTCCTTTCAGGAGTCTAATTTGTCTTGTGTACCCCAAGCTTCACTTCACTTAAACTCATTGCTTACAAAATCGTACATAAAAATATAAGTGTCACAGCACACCTACTGAAAAATTGCTTACTTTCTCATTTTTACCATATAATTATAAAAGAAATCAATTGGAATATAAATATACTTAGTGTATAGCCTATAGAGCAGTGTAAACAAGTCATTGTATGAAATTTTAGTTTGTATTGACTTTGCTAGTGCTTTTATGTAGCCTGTTTATAAAACTAGGCAAATATCAAGATGAGTTGATGTACCCCCAGAAGACCTCTGTGTACCCCCAGGGGTACGCATACCCCTGGTTGAGAATCACTGATCTAGCCAATGGAGGGTTTCTATTAAAAGGTGAAGTATGATAGTAAAAAGCTGAGATTGCTAATAAAATTTGGGTAGCCTTAATTACAAACATGGCCTCAGTCTAGTTCTTAGAGGATGGGTGTTCATATCTCAAAAAAGTAAATTCTAATTGACCACTTGTTGGCAACCTCAGAAGAGAGGTCAACAAATGAATTGCTATGGAGAGTGAATTCCTCTTACCCCTAAATGAGGTCCCTCTAAAGCAGGATTCAGGCATGCTGGTGGGGCAGTATGAGGGAAGCTCACTGCTTATTTTGCCTACTGTGTGACTAAAGGGGAGGGCTCAGGCCCCAGTTATCTCAAGCCAACACCCTTCAGCAGCACTAACTTTCCACTGTTGCTTTTAAATTAAAAGAAAGCTCACTTTTTTACAAAATCTAACTAGACCATAGGCTTTTCTCCTTCAGTAGCTGAAGAGCTTTTCTCTTGTGCTACATGGATGATTCCAGTGTCAACTGCCTGTTTTGCCTGCTTCTACAGCTCTCCTTTGTGCATTCTTCCCACTGTCCTGTATAGGTGAGACCATTACCAGGTCTCTTACTTCAAGTCACTTCTCAAGACCCACAACTGTGATGCCAACAGCCAACTACTAATAATGGCTGGTTTGAGACACGAGATGGTTATTACACATTTCAAGTGCCTTCCTTGAATGTGAGCTCTTTAGAGAACCGGCACTGTTTCTTGTACGTTTTGAAAACCCACCTAGCCTTTGCGAGCTCCTATACATCAAATAAGACATCTCTATTGCCTGCAGTGATGCAGGGTTTTACATTAAATGTTAGTGATGCCTTCTACTCCTGGAGGAGATGACTGAGTTTCAACTACCGTATTTCAAAATGTATTTACTTTGTGTTCCCATTGTCTGTCAATGATTGTCTTACATTTAAAAAGCATTTTGTTCATTTCTTCCTAAACCTCTTCATCGCCTTTTTTATTGACTTAAGAACATAAGAATGGCCATAATGGGTCAGACCAATGGTCCGTCTGTCCCAGCATCCTGTCTTCTGACAGGGGTCAATGCCAGATGCTTCAGAGGTAATGAATAGCACAGGGCAGTTATCAAGTGATTCGTCCCATCGTCCAGTTCCAGCATCTGGCATTCAGAGGCTTAGGAACGCCCAGAGCATGTGATTGTATCCCTGATCATGTTGGCTAATACCCATTGATGGACCTGTCCTCCATTAACTTCTCATCCTTTTTTGAACTCCATTATACTTTTGGTCTTCGCAACATCCCTGGCAATTAATTCTGTGACTGTGTTATGTGAAGAAGAACTTTGTTTGTTTTAAACCTGATCCCTGTTAATTTCATTGGGTGACCCCTGGTTCTTGTGTTATGTGAACAGGTAAATAACACTTTTTTCCCACCCCAGTCATGATTTCATAGACCGCTGTCATATTCCCCCTCAGTTGTCTCTTTTCCAAGCTGAACAGTCCCAGTCGTCTTAATCTCTCCTCATATGGAATCTGTTCCGTACCCCTAATTATTTTTATTTCCCTTCTCTGTACCTTTTCCAATTTTAGTACATCTTTTTGGAGATTGGTTGACCAGAACTGCACACACTATTCAAGGTGTGAGCATACTATGGATTTATATAGTGGCATTATATTTACTAAAAAGAAAAGGAGTACTTGTCATCTAGTTCATCACATCTGATGAAGTGAGCTGTGGCTCACGAAAGCTCATGCTCAAATAAATTGGTTAGTCTCTAAGGTGCCACAAGTACTCCTTTTCTTTTTGCGAATACAGACTAACACGGCTGTTCCTCTGAAACCTGTCATTATATTTACTGTCTTCTCCATCCCTTACCTAATGGTTCCAAATATTCGCTTTTTTGACTGCGGCTACCCATTCAGCAGATGTTTTCAAAGAAGTATCCACAGTGACCCCAATATTTTTCTTGAGTGATAACAGCTAATTTAGACCCTATCGTTTTGTATTTATAGTTGGGATTATGTTTTCCAATGTGTATTACTTTGTATTTATCAATATTGAATTTCATCTACCATTTCGTTGCCCAGTCACCCAGTTTTGTGAGACCCCTTCATAACTCTTCGCAGTCAACTTTAGATTTAACTATCTTGAGTAATTTTGTATCGTCTGCAAACTTTGCCACCTGTTTACCTCTTTTTCCAGATCATTTATGAATATGTTGAACAGCACTGGTCCTAGTACAGATCTTTGGAAGACCCTGCTATTTACCTGTCTCTATCGTGAAAACTGACGATTTATTCCTACCCTTTGTTTCCTGTTTTTTAACCAGTTACTGCTCCATGAAGAGGACCTTCCCTCTTATCCCATGATTGCTTAGTTTGCTTAAGAGCCTTTCATGAGGACCCTGTCAAAGCTTTTTAAAAGTCCAAGTACACTATATAGAATCATAGAATCTCAGGGTTGGAAGGGACCTAAGGAGGTCATCTAGTCCAACCCCCTGCTCGAAGCAGGACCAATCCCCAACTAAATCATTCCAGCCAGGGCTTTGTCAAGCCTGACCTTAAAAACGTCTAAGGAAGGAGATTCCACCACCTCCCTAGGGAACCCATTCCAGTGCTTCACCACCCTGCTTGTGAAAAAGTTTTTCCTAATATCCAACCTAAACCTCCCCCACTGCAACTTGAGACCATTGCTCCTCGTTCTGTCATCTGCTACCACGGAGAACAGTCTAGATCCATCCTCTTTGGAACCCCCTTTCAGGTAGTTGAAAGCAGCTATTCAATCCCGCCTCATTCTTCTCTTCCACAGACTAAACATTCCCAGTTTCCTCAGCCTCTCCTCATAAGTCATGTGTTCAAGTCCCCTAATCATTTTGTTGCCCTCCGCTTGACGCTTTCCAATTTTTTCACATCCTTCTTCTAGTGTAGGGCCCAAAACTGGACACAATACTCCAGATGGGGCCTCACCAATGTTGAATAGAGGGGAACGATCACATCCCTCGATCCGCTGGCAATGCCCCTACTTATACAGCCCAAAATGCCATTGGCCTTCTTGGCAACAAGGGCACACTGACTCATATCCAGCTTCTCATCCACTGTAACCCCTCGGTCCTTTTCTGCAGAACTGCTGCCTAGCCATTCGGTCCCTAGTCTGTAGCGGTGCATGGGATTCTTCCGTCCTAAGTGCAGGACTCTGCACTTGTGCTTGTTGAACCTCATCAGATTTCTTTTGGCCCAATCCTCTAATTTGTCTCGGTCCCTCTGTATCCTATCCTTACCCTCCAGTGTATCTACCACTCCTCCCAGTTTTGTGTCATCTGCAAACTTGCTGAGGGTGCAATCCACACCTTCCTCAGATCATTTATGAAGATATTGAACAAAACCGGCCCTAGGACCGACCTTAGGGCACTCCGCTTGATACCGGTTGCCAACTAGACATGGAGCCATTGATCACTACCCGTTAAGCCTGACAATCTAGCCAGCTTTCTATCCACCTTATAGTCCAGTCATCCAGCCCATACTTCTTTAATTTGCTGGCAAGAATACTGTGGGAGACCATGTCAAAAGTATTGCTAAAGTCAAGGAACAACACGTCCACTGCTTTCCCTTCATCCACAGAGCCCGTTATCTCGTCACAGAAGGCAATTAGATTAGTCAGGCATGACTTGCCCTTGGTGAATCCATGCTGACTGTTCCTGATCACTTTCCTCTCCTCGAAGTCCTTCAGAATTTATTCCTTGAGGACCTGCTCCATGATTTTTCCAGGGACTGAGGTGAGGCTGACTGGTCTGTAGGTCCCCGGATCCTCCTCCTTCCCTTTTTTTAAAGATGGGCACTACATTAGCCTTTTTCCAGTCCTCCGGGACCTCCCCTGATCACCATGAGTTTTCAAAGGTAATGGCCAATGGCTCTGCAATCACATCCGCCAACTCCTTTAGCACTCTCGGATGCAGTGCATCCGGCCCCATGGACTTGTGCTCGTCCAGCTTTTCTAAATGGTCCCGAACCACTTCTTTCTCCACAGAGGGCTGGTCACCTTCTCCCCATGCTGTGCTGCCCAGTGCAGAAGTCTGGGAGCTGACCCTGTTTGTGAAGACAGGCAAAAAAAAGCATTGAGTACATTAGCTTTTTCCACATTGAGTGGAAATTAGCTATATTTACAGAAATTTCCACATTGAGTACATTAGCTATATCCACTGGATCAGCCTTGTCCACATATTTGTTGACCCCCTCAAATAATTCTAATGGACTGGTGAAGTATGATTTTCCTTTACGAAAGCAGTGTTGACTCTTTTTCCAACATATTGTGTTCATCTCTGTGTCTGATGATTCTGTTTTTGACTATGATGTCAACCAGTTGCCTGGTACTGAAATTTTGCTTACCAGCCTGAAATCGCCAGGGTCGCCTCTGGAGCCTTTTTAAAAAATCGGTGTTACATTAGCTGTCCTCCATTCATGTGGATGCTGATTTAAGCAATAATTTACATACCACAGTTAAGCCTTGTCTACGCTGCAGAGTTTTGTCGACAAAACAGTGGAGGTGCGTACACACTACAATGTTTCTTCTGCCAACAAAACTCATGCTTTGCTGACAAAATAAAACCACTTCTATGAGAGGTGTAGAGCTTTTTGCACAAAGTTATATTGACAGTGTCAGGGTAGACACTGTGCTTGGTTATGTCACAGTAAAGGGCCCAAGGAGATGTCCCACAGTGCCCATCCTGACTGCTCTGGTCAACAGTTCAAACTCTGCTACCCTGTACCCAGATATACAGGCATCCCCGCACCTTCCCCTTTAAAGGCACAGGGCTTTTTGAAATTCCACTTCCAGTTTACTCAGCGTGGTGCACTCATATGGCAACTCTCCATCTGACCAGGGCAGTTTCACGCTCCAAACACTCTTCTGCTTGGAGCACACCGGAGCTGTTGAATCTGCTGAGTATATGGGGAGAGGAAGCTGTGCAGTCCCAGCTCCACTCCAGCTGGAGGAACTTCAATAGCAACAGTCAGATTTCCCATGGCATGTTGGAGAAGGGCTATGAATGGGACATGCAGCAGTGCCATGCAAAGATCAAGGAGTGGAGGCAGGTGTACCAGAAGGCAAGGGAGTCAAACCCTCATTCCGGTATTGCGCTGAAGACCTGCCAATTCTATAAGGAGCTGGACACCATTCTTGGTGGTCGAGGTGGGGCTGCCACCAAAAGGCCCGTGGATACTTCAGTGGGACTGGAGACAGTGGACAGCAGAATCAGCCTCAAGGATGAAGTCGTGGACAAGGAGGTCGAGTTGGAGGAGAAAATGGAACAGGTGACAGGGTCGTCCAGGACCATGGGGAGCCAGGAGCTCTTTTCAACCCCGGAGGGTTCAAGCCATTCCCAGCACTCCGTCTCTGGCGTGCATGATGCAGGAGAGGGGAGCTCTGGTAAGTGATCTTTTTGAGTTAATGCTGCTGGGTCATATGAGGTGGAGCTGTCCTTTGCTTTGTTATATTCTAGAAGTGGGTGAAGGGATAGAAATGTACAAGGCTAGCTGTGTTTGCATGTGCTTCACTTTGCCCCGTACAGCTAAGCAGTTCGGTGGAACAGCGTGTTAATGTACACTGAGATTTCACAGAAATCCTCCAGAGAGATCTCTAGGAAACTTTCCTGGAGGTACTTGCTAATCCTCTGCTGAAGGTTCCTTGGCGCAGAGCTGCTTTTGTTCCTTCCCCCAATGTAGGAAACTTTCCCATGTCAATCAGCAATCATGTGTGCTGGGACCAAAGTGGCACACAGGCGAGCAGCGAAGGGACCCGGTCTGAAGCCGCACCCACTTAGGAGATACACCCTTTCATCTTGCTCACCCTCAGGAGTGAGATATCGGCTATAATGACCCCCACCTGTTGAAAATGGTGGCAGAATTTACAATTTTGTCCTTAGTTGCCTGCAGTGATCCGCTTAAAAAACCATCTCAACCCTTTGCCCCATCTTGAGGTCTCCCCGGGGCTGAGCTCATCATGTTTAGGGTGTTGGTTAAGCTCTGTGCTTGCCAAGTGCCAGTGAGAAACTGATTCATAAAAAGAGAGGTGTATTTTACTTTGCTGTGAGTGCACTAACAATTGTGTTTGTTTATTCTTTCTTGTACTTCTGTAGATGTGGCCTTCAGGGGAACCCCTTACACATCGGCGGAGCACCTCCACCAGATAAGGAAGTGACTGAGGAGGAGCAAAGAGGACATGTTTTGATAGGTGCTCCAATCTTCGGAGGACAATAAACAAGAACTCAGGGCATGGAGAGAGACTTTAAAAAGACAAATATAAAACAGGCAGGACAGAAAGGAGAGCCAGGAGTGAATTTTAATGGGCCAGGAGTGGATGATAAAAGTGATGGAGGACCGAAGTCCCAAATTATAATGCAGGCTGAATTCATGCATGCTCGCCTCCTCCCCCCTCACAACAATACCGAACTGCTTGCCTTCTGCCCCTTGAAGCCAATACCGAACTGCTTGCCATGCTCCTCCTAAACTCCTCCCACACCTTCCTTCCAACCTCCCGACCTGTCTTGTTACTCCATTCACTCTATCCCTTTGGACAGTTTCCAAAATGACAGCTGGACTTACACATAGCTATGAGAGCCTACCCTGCCCTTCACTGTTATCTCCCTTCCCCCCAAGCATTTAGTGTGTGTGGTTGTTTTGTATTTAATAAAAACATACTCTCTGAAAGATAATCTTTATTTGTCTCCTACACGTGGTGGTTGCTGCTTAAATTAATACGCAGCGGCAACTAGATCATTTGCAGACTACAAATCACTGTTGGGAATAATTAAAATTGTCGTGCAAGGCTGCAAGTTAACAAACCATGGCAGAGAGCTGTATTACTGGTGTTCACTGTCAAAATGGAGCCACAAGGCCTCCCTGATTCAAATAGCCCCCCCACCCCCTTGTGCCCCTCTAAGAGCGCTAGTAGCTGGCTGGTCAAAATCAGCTGCCAGGCGATCCCCTCTGTATTCCAGGCTGGGGGAAACTTTTCACCCTTAGCCACACAAATATTACAGAGTGCATGTTTAGGTCTAACCTGCCATAAGGGCAGCACCAGCATGCTTTTAATCTGCCGCATACACGTTCTATGGTCATTTTGCACCTGCTCAGCCTATTGTTGAAGTGTTACTTGCTGCTGTCCAGGTTTCCCAGATAAGGTTTCAGGAGCCATGGGAGGAAGGGGTAGGCTGGGTCTCCCAGGATCGCTGTGTGCATATCAACATCCCCCCATTGGCATTTTCTGATCTAGAAAGAAAGTCCCTGGCTTGCAGCTTTCTGTACTGGCCAGTGTTCCTGAAGATGCATGTGTCATGCACCTTCCCTGACCACCTCACGTTGATGTCAATGAAATGTCCATGGTGATCCACAAGCACCTGCAGTACCATAGAGAAGTACCCCTTTCTTTTTAGGTACTCCGTTGCAGCAAGGTCCAGGGCCAAAATAGGGATATGCATACCATTTTTGCCCAACTGCAGTTAGGGAATCCCGTAGCTGCAAAACCATCCACTGTTTCATGGACATTTCCAAGAGTCACAGTCCTTCATGGCAGGATGCGATTAGTGGCCCTGCACACTTCTGTTAATGTAGCCCCAGTAGTGGACTTCTATGATTTCAAACTGATTTGCGACTGACCTATAGCAGTCTGGAATTGCCAGCTTCCACATAGCAATCGCCATGTGCTTCTCCACCAAGAGGGCAGCTCTCATTTTGGTGTCCTTCCACCACTGTGCAGGGGAAAGTGCCGCACACCGTCCCAGGAAGGTGTCTTTCCACATCTGAAAATTCTGCAGCCGCTGATCATCATCCCAGGACTGCATAACAATGCAATCCCACCACTCGGTGCTTGTTTCCCAAGCCCCAAAGTGACAGTTCACTGTCTGCAGCTGCTCTGTGAATACCCAAAGTAATCTGGTGGTGTTTCTTTCTGTGGCATGCCGCAGGTCAGGCAACTCTGATTCCTGTTCATCTTGGGTGCTCACGATATACTGCATGACCAGCTGCAATGTGTTTATAACAGTGACCACCACAGTAGAGAGCCAATGCAGGAGCCATCCTTTCAGACGTGGAATGATGGGACAGAAAAACCATCATCATGGGATACTGCACCTGCACCCAGGATGCACTGCGATGCACTCCACCTTCTCACAACTTCTAGCTGCAGAAGGTGGCGAGCGGCACAGTGGGACAGAGCACCAGCTGTGGATATGCTCCGCTGATAGAAGGAACGTGGTGTGAACGTGCACAAGTGATGTCACCGCTCTTTGATCGTCGGCGTAGCTTGCATTGACAGAACTTGATAGTGTAGACAAGGCCCTAATTGCTTTTTCAAATTCTTTTCTGCCTGCTTAATTATACTTTTACACTTGACTGGCCAAAGTTTATGCTCCTTTCTATTTTCCTCAGCAGGATTTGACTTCCGGTTTGTAAAGGATGCCTTTTTGCCTCTAACTGCCTCTTTTACTCTGTTGTTTAGCCAACGTGGCATTTTGTGGTCCTGTTTTTGTATGTGGGGTATACGTTTAATTTGAGCCTCTATTACAGTGCTTTTAAACTTCCCCTTACATTACAAAGTAACAGGTGAGGGTCCTAGCAGAGCCCTGTCACATGCAGTTGCAAATGAGTCCCTCATAAACAAATGCCCAGTGTTTTGTACACAGGTGTGACTCAGTCCTTCGCAAGATGAGAGTTGAGCGGTTGCTAATAATCCATCTGTTTCTACTCTAAATATATGCTTCCTTTTAAGGATGCCGGGCTGGCTGTATTTTTCACCAGCCAGTTTCTTGTACTACAATTAGAACGACTTGAAAGTACTCCAACACCTGTGTTCATATTGCATTTCAACCACTAACTTTTTCCAAACAGCTTTCTACCGCTCACCTGACCATCTCTTTAGCAGTGGTTTTCAGACATAGTCTCATTTTAGGATTACAACTGGAGAGCAGTCTTTATGGAACTTTAAAGTCCTTGAATGGGACTTGACTCTTCCCTCTTTAATGTCATATGCTGAGGATCAGTCTTTCTCCCCCACGTGAAGTAACTGATTTCCTTACCTTAGTCTTGCAATAGTCTCATGAAAATTTAGGCCATGTCTACACTAGCAAGCTTACAGCAGCACAGCTGTACGGAGTGGCTCTGCCGCTGTAAGATCGCTCATGTAGCCGCTCTGTGCTGACTGGGGAGCTCTCTCATTGACATCGTAAAACCACCTCGATGAGCGACGGGAGCTATGTTGGCGGGAGAAGCTGTTTTGGTGGGAGTGTGCATAGCCGCTTTTTTTCACACCTCTGAGCGATGTAAGTTTTGCCGACGAAAGTGCTGGTGTAGATCTGGAGTTTTAGGCCATGTCTATCAACTTCCCTAATCATCATGCTGGAAAAACTAATAACTTGTTCCTCCCAAGCAAGTGGAAGTGTAGGGTTTTGCAGGACTGACTTTTCATTTATTGATTTGATGTGCGACAATCTTAAATACATCTGCTGCGTCCATGTGTATTTCCTGGGTACACCTGGAACTGTCTCATAAACAAAACACACAATGTCCCCTATAGTGGTGGCAGTAGAAGCTATGGGGAGCACCTGTCATCGAATTCGAATGAACTCACATGTACTAACTGGGCACGAGTAGCATACATCATTTGATGGCTGGCTTAGTGGCAATCAGAACGTTGCCAGTAGGATGGAATAGCTACCCTAGTCTTCCCTCTCTCAACATCTGATTCCATGATCCATCTTGTCCTGTTTAAGAATAAAAATAAGGTAGGCACTAGTTAAAATGCAGTTTGTATAGAGAGCCATTTTTATTAGCCAAGGGTACGTATTATTCTAGGCTTCTTAGAGCATTGTTAGTGATATGTGTAACACGGTCACCAAGGGTATGTCTACACTACGGAATAAGGTCGAATTTATAGAAGTCGGTTTTTTAGAAATCAGTTTTATATATTCGAGTGTGTGTGTCCCCACAGAAAATGCTCTAAGTGCATTAAGTGCATTAACTCGGCGGAGCGCTTCCACAGTACCGAGGCTAGAGTCGACTTCCGGAGCATTGCACTGTGGGGAGCTATCCCACAGTTCCCACAGTCTCCGCTGCCCCTTGGAATTCTGGGTTGAGATCCCAATGCCTGATGGGGCTAAAACATTGTCGCGGGTGGTTCTGGGTACATATCGTCAGGCCCCCGTTCCCTCCCTCCCTCTGTGAAAGGAAGGGCAGACAATCATTTCGCGCCTTTTTTCCTGAGTTACCTGTGCAGACGCCATACCACTGCAAGCATGGAGCCCGCTCAGGTAACCGTCACCCTATGTCTCCTGGGTGCTGGCAGACGCGGTACGGCATTGCTACACAGTAGCAGCAACCCCTTGCCTTGTGGCAGCAGACGGTACAGTACGACTGGTAGCCGTCATCGTCATGTCCGAGGTGCTCCTGGCCACGTCGGCTGGGAGCGCCTGGGCAGACATGGGCGCAGGGACTAAATTTGGAGTGACTTGACCAGGTCATTCTCTTTAGTCCTGCAGTCAGTCCTATTGAACCGTCTTATGGTGAGCGGGCAGGCGATACGGACTGCTAGCAGTCGTACTGTACCATCTTCTGCCGAGCAGCCATGAGATGTGGATGGCATGTTCTGCACTGTCTGCTGCCAGCCAAAGATGTAAAAGATAGATGGAGTGGGTCAAAACAAGAAATAGACCAGATTTGTTTTGTACTCATTTGCCTCCTCCCCTGTCTAGGGGACTCATTCCTCTAGGTCACTCTGCAGTCACTCACAGAGAAGGTGCAGCGAGGTAAATCTAGCCATGTATCAATCAGAGGCCAGGCTAACCTCCTTGTTCCAATAAGAACGATAACTTAGGTGCACCATTTCTTATTGGAACCCTCCGTGAAGTCCTGCCTGAAATACTCCTTGATGTACAGGCACCCCCTTTGTTGATTTTAGCTCCCTGAAGCCAACCCTGTAAGCCGTGTCGTCAGTCGCCCCTCCCTCCGTCAGAGCAACGGCAGACAATCGTTCCACGCCTTTTTTCTGTGCGGACGCCATACCAAGGCAAGCATGGAGGCCGCTCAGCTCACTTTGGCAATTAGGAGCACATTAAACACCACACGCATTATCCAGCAGTATATGCAGCACCAGAACCTGGCAAAGCGATACCGGGCGAGGAGGCGATGTCAGCGCGGTCACGTGAGTGATCAGGACATGGACACAGATTTCTCTGAAAGCATGGGCCCTGCCAATGCATGCATCATGGTGCTAATGGGGCAGGTTCATGCTGTGGAACGCCGATTCTGGGCTCGGGAAACAAGCACAGACTGGTGGGACCGCATAGTGTTGCAGGTCTGGGACGATTCCCAGTGGCTGCGAAACTTTCGCATGCGTAAGGGCACTTTCATGGAACTTTGTGACTTGCTTTCCCCTGCCCTGAGGTGCATGAATACCAAGATGAGAGCAGCCCTCACAGTTGAGAAGCGAGTGGCGATAGCCCTGTGGAAGCTTGCAACGCCAGACAGCTACCGGTCAGTTGGGAATCAATTTGGAGTGGGCAAATCTACTGTGGGGGCTGCTGTGATGCAAGTAGCCCACGCAATCAAAGATCTGCTGATATCAAGGGTAGTGACCCTGGGAAATGTGCAGGTCATAGTGGATGGCTTTGCTGCAATGGGATTCCCTAACTGTGGTGGGGCTATAGACGGAACCCATATC